TTCCTGCCCAGGAGCAGGGGATGTCTTTCCTTTTTCTGATATCATCTTCAATCTCTCTTTTCAGAGTGCTATAGTTTTCAGAGAAGAGATCTTTGATTTCTTTTGTTAGGTTGATTCCTAGGTATTTCAGTTTTTTGGATGCTATTGTGAAAGGAATTGTTTGCCATATTTCTGTCTCAGTGAATCTATTGTTCGTGTAGAGGAAAGCTATTGATTTTTGTGTGTTGACCTTGTATCCAGCTACTCTGCTGAATTTGGTTATTAAGTCTAGAAGACTTTTGGACTCTTGGGGTCTTCTATATAGAGTATCATGTCATCTGCAAATAATAACAATTTGACTTCTTCATTTCCTATCTTTATTTCTTTTTTTTCTTTCTCTTTTGCCTGCATAATTTATTGACAGTATATTCTCGGGCAAGTGACTTAGCTGCTATGAGGCTCAGTCCTAATCTGTACCATGGCTACCTAACAACTGATAGAACTGTTTTGAGAATTGGCTGAGATAATAAATGCTGTGTGCTCAGTACAGGGCCTGGTACATGATACATGCCGCACAAGTGGAAGCTGGTGTTGTTCTCACTCAGTTCTTTTAGGGTTGCTCTGTCCCACAATCAGACACATTCTTTCCTTGGGATTTAAATCTGTCTTTTCACCAAGTCCCAGGTTTTTGCTATCTTATTTCCCCAAATCCTGCTCAGCCCACTTTGTCCTTGCCATTTTACAGTCCAGGCAACTGAGCCAATCAACCATCAAGACTTCTGAATTTGGGTCTCATTCCCCGAAACTCCAGTCTGCTCCTCCTGAATGATTTTGGATTTATTCTTCATGACCATAGTGTGAACTGAGAGGGTACTTTGTGAATGCACTTTTCTCCTCAATCTTCATTTTCTGAACCTTAGCTCTTCTTATCCGAGCATCACCTCTTTAGCCTTGTCCAGCCTCCAAGTTGGGGGAAAATTTCAGAATTTTTAAAACAAATGTCAATCAACATTTGGTTCAGGAATGGTGGCTGGAATCTTCATTGGAAGAGGTCTTTGGGGGGAGCAGAAAAAAGTTAACCCCTCATATAATCGCTGCCCAAGATTCCAGGGACTAAGTTGGTCTGTAACAAAGGTTGCTCTGACAAGTGTGGTGCAGGGAGATGGTAGAGGCTCCACTCCTGGGCACAGCTTTGTTGAAGCAATATGGTTGCTTTGGTTTGGCTCCCGATGTGGATTTGCTGGACACTGAACAGTCAGAAAGGTGCAGCTGTCTGCTTTGTTTTTAACAAGCTGGAAATAAACTGGCTAGACCTGACTGTCGCTTGCAAAGCATTGGCAAACACTTCATATGTCTGCAACATTTCTGACTTCAAATTGGTGTTTGCCATGCCTTTGGGGTTAATATTTTGCCAAATGTAGCTGAATTTACAATTTAGTTATAGTGCTACCATGGTACTATAGTACCATAGTTATAGTACTATTAAATTTCAAGCTCAGTTACAAAACAATTCCCAGTATCCTAACCAATCCCATCAGCTGGATGATCATATTAGTTATCATAGTAGTTATCAATTACCGCATAACAAACTACTTCAAAACTTAACGTTTGAAACAATAAACAGGGCTGAGGGTGAAGCTCAGTGGTATTGTGCTTGCCTAGCATGCATAAGGCCCTGGGTTCAATCCCCAGCAACACACACACCTGCATATACACCTGCACACATAAAGGCAAACAAACATTTACAAGTTTCAAGTGTCTGAAATCTGGGCATGCTTTAGAGGATGGTTCTGGCTCAAGGTCTCTTACCAGGCTGTAGCCAATCTGTTGTTCGGGGCTTCAGCAATCTTGAAATTTAAATGAGGTTGAAGGACACACTTCAAGCTCCTCACAGGATTGTTCTCAGGCATCCGCTCCTTGATGGCTGTTGGCTGGAGGCCTGTCTCACGCCATGTGGGACTCTCGTAGCAGCTGGCTTTCCCCAGAGCAAGTGACCTATGAATGACACAGCAACCAGGATGGGAGCTGTGGTGCCTTTTATACCCTAGTGAACCACTACTTCTGGTTCATGTGTTGAGAAATCGATTCTGGAACAATATGGAGGAAATAACTCAAGGGGTGAGTATTTGGAGGCAGAGATCACTGGGACCATTGTAGAAGCTGGTTACCATGGTGAGCTGAGGTTTTTGTTGTTTTGTTCTGTTGTTTTTTTCACAGACAGGATTTCACCTTGTAGTTTAAGCTGGTCTTCAACTCACTATGTAGCACAGGCTACATAGTGACCACATTGATCCTCCTGCCTCAATCTCCCCAGTGCTGGGATTATAGGCACGCACCACCATGCCCAGCCACCATAGTGTTTTAGACTGGAAAAAAATAACCCTGTCAGGAGCTGGTTCCTAGCTTGCCCACCGATTCATTCGCTCATTCGCTCATTCAGCCAATGTTTATAGAAGAGTACAAGCTCCAGGCACCACTCTTGAGAATGCATTAGAGAAAAGGGGCTGTTCCTGCCATCAGGGACCCTATAGTAAATCATGAGGCTGTTTGACGAGTTGAGATAGGCAAGTTCAGTTATGAGAACATGTGTGGAAAGTCAGGAATGGCTTCCTGAGAAAGGACAGAGAGAGACTAGAGAATTCCTAATGGTGTAAAGGTTAAGTGGGTTGGGGAGGCAGCGTGGGAAGTGGAAGACAGATATCACAGGGAGATCCAGGCAGCAGGCAGGAACCCAGGAATTCCAGGAGGAGCGGAGTATTTGACAGGCAGGACCATAGAACAAGATGGTGGCCCTGGGCGTCAGGGGTTCAAATCATGGCTGGTCCAGGCTGCTCTTAGTGCCCACTGTCTAGCAGGCAACTGAGGCAGGAAAGAAGGCATTGTGAAGGAGATGGGGGCCTCAGAGAGGAGGTGAAACCTGGACCAGACAAGTGAGGGTCAGAAGAGCCCCAATTCTGGAAGGCTGGTTGCTGTCTTTTAAGTGCTGGCCTATGGCACCTAAATCCCCTCTGAGAGAGGACCACATTGGTGCTGGAGATTGTGCTTCAGCTATGGAGAGAGGAGCTTAAGGGACAGGAACTGGGCTGACAGCTCAGAGAAAGTTGCAGAGTGGAGAAGTTTGTCCTTGGTGTCAGCTCATTGCTCAGAGCCTGTTCTGCTGGCTTGGTGACTTCCAGTATCTCTGAGTTCCCCGGGTGGTCCCTCCCATGCTCAGCCCTGATGGCCTTTCTGCTGCTGACGTCCCCAGGCTCAACCCATTGCTTAGGCTGTGTCCTTCCACATACAACTCCACTCTTTCTGCTGACCCTCAAAGAGGAGGTTGGCCACAGACTTCAGGGCCATGATCCAGCTTCAAGAATTGAGTATGCACACAAGCTTGATGAGCTGTTCTTGTGATTCTGGCATTCTGGGAAGCAGGAGGATTGAGAGTTTCAGCCCAGTTTGAGGAATTTAGTGAATTAATAAGACCCCATCTCTATTTACAAACATCTAATGAAACACTATTCATTCATAAACATTTGTTTTTACACTGTACTTTGAACTAATTTATATTCTTCTGTAGTAAGACCTAACTCAGACTTCTAAAGGCCTTAAAACCAAAGACATTGGCTCTTGTTTGTCTTTTGTAACAGATTACAATAAAGTTGGACCAACTTAAAACTAAAAGACCCTGTCTCAAAGTAAAAATTTTAATAAAGCTAGGGATGTAGCTTAGTGCAAAGACATTGGGTTCCATCCTCAGTACTTTAAATAAAAAGAATTGAGGATGCAAAAAGAATGCAATTAAACAAAAACTCATGGAAAAGTAGAGCTTTGGTGTGGGCCAGTCTGATTACTTGTGGCCCTTGCTTGGTTTCCCCCCTTTAGGATGCAGTCTGCTACTGTAACTAAGTTATCAACACTTGTGGGCAAAAATCAAAGTTCCACTATTATGGTTTGTGTCTAGAGGTCCCCCCAAAGCCTCATGCTGTCATAGGTGGGGGCTTTTCGGAGGTGACTGAATCTGGAGTGAGTGATGCTGGGGTCGAGGGTGTGTGATCACTACATCAGCCCACTGATTGGTTTGGGTAGTTCTGGGTGGGATTAAGGGTGCCCAGCCTGGGGGTGAGTGCTACTTGCCCAAGGGCCTGTATCCTGGATAAAATATAAGGGACAGAAAGAGGGTTGCTGCTGGCTGCTTGGCGCTTCCTTCTTGCTGCCTGCTCCTTGCTACCTTCTGCCTGCCTGCTCCACAGTTTCCCTCTGCCATGCCACCCTGCCTTGTAGCCAGCCAGCTATGAACTTAAATCTCTACAAACTGTGAGCTATCGGAAACCTTTCCTCCTTTAATCTTTGGTATTGGTTATTTTGTCTCGGCAATGAGAAAAGTAACTGAGACCTCCACCATCTGTGTGAGATCAGCCTAACTCTGTAGGAAGAGTGTGGCCATTCTGGACATCTGGGAAGTGGGCTCTGCCTCTCTGTCTCCATCAGCACCTGCAGAGCCCTCCCCACTGTGTCGGGGATGGGGGAGCTGGGGGAAAGCAGCTCCTCCTCTGCTAGCATCATCCATCTGACACCTCCCCTGCTCCTCCATGCAGTCTGTCTGGCGAGGGCTCTGCATGTGCCCCGTGCCTCACTCATCCCCTACCTCTCCACCTCCCCAGTGCTCACAGTGATCAGATGACACAGAAACCATCACAGCATTTTGCAGAGGCAATGGAACCCTGGTGCATCTGACCTCTAAGCCTCTGTCTTCTGAACTCAATTCTAACACCTGTGGTGTAGATTTCTTCAAAGTGGTGTAGATTTGTTCAAGGCTCCCCGAAAGGTCACTCGGGCTCAGTCCCCAGCCTTCCTGGCCTTGCCCTGATCCCTTCTGGTTCTTTTAAGTCTCTGAAGGCTCTGTGTAGTCACTGGCATGGATTTCTCTTTCACAAGAAGGTTGATGGTGAGCACAGTCTGAGATATCAAGAAGAAATTGAAGCCAGGGGGAATGGGAAAAAGCCCCAAATGAAATTCTAGGATTTAAGGTTTCAGACTAGGTAGGAGGGAAGAGGCAGGAAGTGCATCTAACAGCAAATAGTTAGATAGACTTTGTCTTCTTAAAATGGCAATAAAAACAATGGCCAACATTTATTGAGTACTTATACACCAGGCCCTGGGCCAAGCACACTGCATATATGACCCCATTCAATCTCACACCAAACCTGTGAAGCATTTAACACGAAGTCCAAATTATACAGACGATGAACTGAGACTCCAGGAAGTGCAGCCCGCGGCTACACAGTGGCAGAGTTTGGAACTAAGACTTGCTCCTTGTGGCTCCATAGCCCGAGCTCTGTACCCTGGTGTCACCATGGCTACATGTCCCCACCCCTGTTGATTTCCAGATCATTTCGGAGCGTACCAAGCCCAGGATGCATGAGTTCCAGTCCGAGGTGTTCATGATCATTGGCGGCTGCACCAAGGACGAAAGATTTGTGGCAGAGGTAACCTGCCTGGACCCCCTGCGTCGCAGCCGCCTGGAGGTGGCCAAGCTCCCACTGACCGAGCATGAGCTGGACAGTGAGAATAAGAAGTGGGTGGAGTTTGCATGCGTGACATTAAAAAATGAGGTCTACATCTCAGGTAAGCAGGAGTCGTGGGAAGCCCCCAGTGGCACATTTTCCCAAGAGCCAGGCAACCCACCCGTGATAGTGGAATGACTGTGAGTTGCCAAGGACCTAGTCCTGACGGCGTCAGATATGGAAGCGGGGGCTCAGGAGATCCGGGTACATTATTACTTACTAAACACTCAAGTGCGAGCCTCATTGTGTTAGGTAAGACCTCGGGAGCAGGCATGGAAAAAGAAGGAATGTGACTCTCGTGCTTATCAGTATCTGCTCTAGAAATCGGGCGCTATGCTAGGAATACAGTAGTGGGAGTACAGTCATGAATGAATCCCCAAACCTGACCCCCTCCCCAGTTTAGTACTTCATGTTCTGATATATTTCAGTGTTGCAGTAAAATAACATGAAAAAGCATACTTTTTATTGCTAAGTTATGGCTTCATTGTTTCCAGTTCCTCAGGCCTATCTCCTCCCTAGACCATGTTTCCAGGAGGGAGAGCTGTCTTCCCAGCACCCAGTGCTGCGGCTGGACTCAGAGTAAATGCTCAGTCAGTATTTATTGAACGGCACGGCCTCAGCCGTCTTTACTGCGTAGTAGATGACTTTGTAATAACTTTGCATTGTTTGCTCTTACATCAGCTCCAGGAGGTAGGTATTTTGAAGGTAGGAGGAAATGGAGGCTCAGTGAGGTTCTAGAATGTAACTAGGATCACACACTGGTGGGCATCAGGCAGAATGGAACCCAGGTGCTGAGCCTAGGTCCCAGGCTGTGCCTTAACCTCAAAAGCCACCTGGCTCCTCCTGGAAGCTGAGGCAGGAAGCACCATCTCCTCCCCTGGCCTCCTGATTGATCTTATAGAAATACTTGTAATTCTGATAGAAGAGACCAACAACAAGAGAGAACAGAATATTAAATATGGCAGTTTCTCTGCTCCATTATAATTCTATGTTTTAATTTTTTATGACATAGTTTTGTTTTAGGGTAAGTAATGTTAGGTGCTGTAACACATCTGCAGTCTCAGTGAATCACACAGTGGTTTGTGGTGGGGGTGACCCAGAAGGGTCCCTGTGCTCCAGCACAGCATTCAGGGACCCAGGTCCTTCCATCTGGTGACACTGCCATTTCCCACACGTGGGCTTCACTTAAGGAAGACAGAGACACCGAGCGAGCTGAAAGGGATTTTCTGCTCATAAAAGCCTCAGCCTTGTGGGGCATGGTGGTACGAGGCTGAAGCAGGAGGATCACTGCGAGTTTGAGGCCAGCCTGGGCTATATAGTGAGTTCAAAGCCAGCCTGAACTACATAGTGAGACTCTGTCAATGAAAAACAGAAACCAACCAACTAATCAACAAACCAAACAAAAAACCCTCAGCCTGGAAAGGCCGCACTGATCCTGCTCAGGGACATTGGCAAAAACCAGCCACTCACCTTCCCCTCCCAGCATGCAGGTGGGCCGGGAAAGTAGTCCAGCTATGGGACTACGGTGGTCATGATCTGTCCTTGCCACATTCGCAGCACGTGTTATTCTACAATTGGTTCTTCCCCTCTTTTAAATTTACAGTTTATTTTTTAATGCTAGAAACAGTGCATAAAAAGTGTGCTTGGCATACACAATTACATCAACAGAAACTCGTACCTCAATTCACAGTGTAATTGGGATATTGTTATATATTAGTGTAATGGACATACGTATTAAGTGATACACAATGTGCAAAGCGCAGCATAACACCAGACACCCGGTCAGAGTTTAATAATGTCATCAGCTATCAGGCAGCCTGTTGAATGGGTGAATCATCTATATTTTTTCTTTTTCTAAAAATCTCCTTGAAAAAAAACATGGAACAAGGCATTCTTATAACAAGGCATTCTTATACCAAGCATTCTTATACCCATATACTTCATGCACCTGTGCTGCTCATTTGAAAGGTGCTGCAAGTGGTCATAAGAGACATGAATTGAGAATTTTTATATATATTGCCAACTTGTCCTCCAGAAACACTGCATCAGTTTACAGTTCTACCCCAGATGAATGACAGTGCCATTATTGGTGATTCATGTTTTTAAAATTTCCTTTCACTAGCACTGCGTGTGTTAGTAGGGCATGATGTTTACATTCCTCATGGGGAACTGGTGCATGCACGTAGTATGTTTTAATTCCTTCTTCCATCCTCTTTCCCTTTCCTCCCTCCCCTCCCACACGGACAAGGAATGTAAACATTATGTACCTCAAATGTGTACAAAAGGGTGAAGGGGTCATTTATATTTTTAATAGGCTAAACATTTACATTTGCACTACTAGATCATTAGTGAGGTTGAGCATAGTTTTATACAATAATTAGATAACTGTACTTTTTTTTTTTTTTTTTTTAAATAACCTGTTCCTACCTTTTGGCTGTTTCCCTGGTGTTTGTTTTTTTCTTACTAACTTTTTGGAGCTTTAGACGTAGAAATCCCAGGGCTGGGTTCCTCCCTAGAGAAACAAGTACCTGTGCCTCGAAACATTGTCAGTGATGTTCTTTGCCCCTAGGTCACATTTTTAAGTCTGAGAAGTGCAATTAATCTTTGGTTGGAGTAGCTGGTGGCATTGCATGCCTATGGGAAAATGGAAACATAAAGTATTTACAATATTTTATTAAATCACCCAGAAAAATAGCAACTTCCCTGTCTTCCTCTCTCTACCTAACTGCTGAATTATGTTTTTTTCTGTTAATTGAGAGAGTTTTCTTGAAGGAAATATTGACCAAACTTTCAAATGATCTACTCAGGAGGCTGAGGCAGGAGGATCATAAATTTGAGGCCAGGTTGGGCAACTTAACCAGATCCCATCTCAAAATACAAAGGGCTGGGGATATATGTAGCTCATCTGTAGATGGCTCCTGAGATCTATTCCTGGTACTGCAAAAATAAAACAAGACAAAACACCGAAAACCAACAAAACAAAAAATATCTCAGCATCTCATGCTTATAAAAATTAACTTGAAAATAGAATTGTCCCATTTATATTTTATATGGTCCAAGGAAATCTTGTAAGATGTCTTGGTAGTTTCTCAGACCTTTTTTTTTTGTCATTTATTTGTTTGCTTTTTCATTTAAATAAATAAGCATAAGCGGCCTTCTAATTTGCTGATGGGTCAAGGTCCTAGGCAGCTACACTCCCCGCTCCTTGTGGGGTCAAACGCTGAGTCCGGGCGCCCTCTATCCCCACCCCTGGCCAATCGCTGTCCACCTCCCTGAAGCCTTCTCCGCCCTTGCTCTCAGCTCCATCTCTTTTGTTGCCTCGTGGCCCTGAGGAGGCCCAGTGCGCAGTCCCCCAGCCTTCCCCTGCTCCCTGCGACGATGGCTTCGTCTCCCCACCCCAGACCACACACCCCTTGGGGCTCCTCCTCTCTCCCCAGAGCGTGGGACTGGGCTGGAGTCTAGCCCTCCTGGATTTCTGGGAAATGATGGGAAAAGCTGTCTTTCTGGCACATCTGATCATTCCTTAAATGCTTTGTATCTCACGCAGGTGGCAAAGAAACCCAGCACGACGTTTGGAAATACAACTCCTCAATCAACAAGTGGATTCAGATCGAGTACCTAAACATAGGCCGCTGGAGGCACAAGATGGTGGTGGTGGGCGGCAAGGTCTACGTCATCGGTGGTTTCGACGGCTTGCAGAGGATCAACAACGTAGAGACCTACGACCCCTTCCACAACTGCTGGTCCGAGGTACAGGAGAGCGGCTTCGTGAGCGACTTCAAGCCATTTCTTCATGGGGTGGGGGGAGAAGCGCATGCTCACAGGGCAGCCGGCTTTCATTTGGGGTGGCTCTGAGCGTCCCTCCCTGGGGACCCCAGGCTTTAGCTTTGCCAATCGAATGGCAGCAGAGTGTCCTTCCCATCGGTGAGGCTGTGCGGGCACCAGAGGCTACGGGAGGCTGATCTTGGCCCTCAGTCTTCACCCGAGTCTGTCTCCTCAAATGCCTTCTGTTCCCTGCTTCTTCACACCGGACACCTGGGGACCCCTTACCACATGGCCTGTGAGCCTAGCGTCCCTTGGTCTTGTTTAGAAGTCTTATTTGTTTCCCGTTAATGATGCGCCACTTGAATGCCTGCATGCAAGTCTTTAGCATGCAACCTCAAGGTGAGCAAAGTGACCTCACCTCTGGTATTTCTAGGTGATCCTCAAGTTCAAAGTTTCTTTCCCCTTATCAGGCCATGTTTCAGCTTTGGGGAGTATAAGCACAGTCATTTTGGGCACATGTTGCCTGGTCACCATGACATCCAGCCAAGAGCTGTCAACCAAAATGTCCTGTCTGGGGACCCTTAGCATTTGGGGGGTGCATGAAGCTTTTCTCCCTTCATCAAGTCCAGTTATAGGGTTGCCCTGTGACCCAAAGAGCTCAAGTAAAAGGGCAAGAAGCTCTTGGAGTCCCCTTCGATGTGCGGGGGTTCAGAAGGGAGAAGAAGCACAACCCAAATCTGTAGTGTGGCCTGGCCTGGAAGAGTCTGCTCACCAGTGAGCACCTTCAGTCTGTGTGCTGGCTTTTCCTCCTGGGTCTAAGCAGTGAGGGTGATCAGCGCCGGCACATAGTGGGTGCTCAGAAAGTGTTTTTTGACTGAATGAGCACATGAATCTAATTAGAAAAAAATCATTCTCTTTGCACATTGGCCGACTTCAGCTGCTTTACACATGCCCCTGCCTTAGCCTTCCTTTCCTGAGAGCCGGACTCGGGGTGATTGGGGGGAGTCCTGGAGCATGCCAGGAGGGTGAGCAATGTGCACTTCCACTCCCCCTGTGGCTTAAGGGATCCAGCCATGGCCTTGTGACTTCAGGCACAGGGTGCCCAGGTTTGTCCCTGGGCCATGTGTCCTGCCACCTGGGGCAGCACAGCCAACAGCTTCTTTCTGTGGCCCATCCTCTGCAGGTGGCGCCCCTCCCCATCCATGTCAGTTCCTTCGCGGCCACCAGCCATAAGAAGAAGCTCTACGTGATAGGGGGTGGGCCCAACGGGAAACTAGCCACGGACAAGACGCAGTGTTACGACCCCTCGACCAATAAGTGGACCTTGAAGGCGGCCATGCCAGTGGAGGCAAAATGCATTAATGCAGTGAGTTTCCGGGACCGCATCTATGTTGTTGGTGAGTGACAGCTTTTTATCATTTATTTGAGGTCCCTCACTCATGCAGCTGGGCTGGAGATCTGAAAGGCTCCCTTGAGAATCCTGGGTGATCTAAGTGGGGCTGAAAAGGAAGACAGGAGGAGGCTGGTCCAGGCCTGGGTGGAATTTCCCAGGAGCAGAATAAAACCGAGAAAGAAGCTAGACACTGCAAGCCAGAGGTCAGGAGTGTGTCAAGCGTTAGCAAATGTCCCGAAATTGAAACAATAAGTGCCCAACAAAGGGTAGTGATCATTACTTCTTGGTTTGTGTTCACGGGAATTTACCTCTTCTCGGCTTGCTTCAGGGACTCTGAAAACTTGCATTTAGTCCGTAGGAAAGTCTGGCCAGCCAGACCACGCTTGGTGTGTAATTGGGAAGGAAAGGGGCTCTCTGTCCCGACTACTCATTAGAATCACAGGGAGCCTTTTACAAAAATATAGGTCACTGGGCCTGACCCCACAGCAGTGAGCTCAGAATGGGAAGGCGGGTGTTGGGAATGCTAGAACTGTATTTTTAAAAACTCCCAAGTGATTTTAATGTGCAGCCAGGAGGCAGAACTACTGATTAAGGAGATGCCAGAAAACGAATCGCTGCAGCAAACCAGAGCTCATCAGAGAAGGCATTCGGAGGAAAACACTTCTCCCCCTCCTTTCCGGTTTCTGTGTGTTTGTTCATGGCCAGCCTCCTGGCTGCTCCAGAGGGCTCACCTCAAGACAGTGACTTGGGCTCGCATCCAGATCCTGCTCAGTGTAGAGAGAGATGCCACCCCCAGCTTCTGCCACTAGCTCTCTGTGGGGTGCCCAGGGTGCCCTGGCCTTCTGACTTCCAATACTCACTGTGGGCTTGGTGCCCGTGGTCACAGATCATGGCAGAGCTGGCAGTATGGGCCAGGTCTATCAGAGGCACCGGTGGATGTTTATTCCAGGGAGCAGCTCAGGTACACTTTGGCTGCCCTGAGAAGGCAGGTGTTCCTTAGAGCCCTGCGCACACCTGGCTGCAGAATGTAGAGGCGGTGCCCCCACACTGGCATCTTGTTGGTCCTAGGACCCACCTGGCTTTCTGCAGAGGAAGCCACCCATGCACTGCTACCATGGCAAGATGGTAGGCCAGGCCTGACCAGAAGTAGAATGGAAGGACGGCCAGAAAACTGGTGTGATCCTCATTTTTTGTGCTCTTTCTTCCTCCTCAGGTGGGGCCATGAGGGCACTGTACGCCTACACCCCCCTGGAGGACAGCTGGAGCCTGGTGACCCAGCTCAGCCATGAGCGGGCCAGCTGTGGCATCGCGCCCTGCAACAACCGCCTGTACATCACCGGCGGGCGGGACGAGAAGAATGAGGTCATCGCCACAGTGCTGTGCTGGGACCCCGAGACCCAGAAGCTGACGGAGGAGTGTGTCCTGCCCCGGGGAGTGTCGCATCACGGCAGTGTCACCATTAGGAAGTCGTACACCCACATCCGGAGGATCGTGCCAGGAGCGGTGTCTGTGTGACTGTGGAGGGACCTGGAGGCGACCCCACCGCCTGCATCTCGTGTTGGAGGTCTGCCTTGGGGTCACAGCGCTGGGACACTTGAGATCACTGGAATGTGTGCTCACCTACCTCGGGACGGAAGGCGCGGAGGGTGGTGGGTGAAGTCAGGACATACCTGTCTGCACAGGTCCTTTGCTTGGCATTGTCCTACGTCATTTCATCAACCCTGATGATGACTCAGTGCCTGGCAGTTGTCACTCCTGACCACAGATGAGAAATAGAGTTTTGGACAGGCTCAATGATGCTCCCTAGCTCGAGCAGCAAGTACTAAGCCAGGAGTCTGGAACCAGGTCTTCCCATTTTGGTCAGCATCCTTCCTTCTGCCCAGCTCGGAGCAAGAAAACCAAAACCCAAGCCCAAACCCAACTCGGGTCTTGCTCTTCAAGACTGGCAAAAGATTCATTCTTCGAGGCATGACGGTGTTTCTTCTTCCCTCCTTTCTTTCTTTCTTTGGTACTGGGGATCGAACTCAGGGCCTTGTGCTTGCAAGGCAGGCGAGATGCCACTGAGCTAAATCCCCGGCCCTTCCATCCTTTCTTTTATCCCTTGTTTGTAAACTGTACAAAACCCTTGGGGCCAGAGTCTTTGGGCTCCCTGTGTAGAAGACCCTCCAGACTCGTCCACTGGGCAGGTCCGTGCACACGGGTCCTGGAAGGACTGTTTGTTTGGGAGAAGACGAACCCCTTGTGTTCTGCTCTCTGAAGCCTCTGCTTTTTCTGATCTCTGAATGGCCTGCTGTGGACCCGAGCTGTCCTCACCAGGCAAAATCATCTTCACCACAGCCCAGGGCCCTGGCCTCTTAATGGCCAATGGTTATACTGTGATAGAGAAAAGAAGTTTCCAGAGCCCCCAGCTACTGTTTTATAAAAAAGCAAGCATCTTAACACTGCTAGCACTGGAGAATTCCAGATTCTTCTTCACAGCGTTCTTTCTACTCTTTAGGCGTGATTTGGGTCTACGTTCCTGGTACCTCCTAGAACCTACGTTTTCAGGATCTTTCGAAGCTCTGCTCCTTGAGTTTTGGATCAGTGTGGCTTGATTTTGATTTGGAGAACAGAATCTGCCCTTCACCCTAAAGAGAAGGACTTTCAAATGAGCTCACTGGAAATGCATTCTAATCCCCGGGGTGGAGAAGCAGGTTAACAGATCTTGTTTCATATGCTGTCTTAAAAACATAGTAACTGCATTATGGAAGGTGCTTTATTTTCATTGTATGATTTCAGTTCTCTTTTTAGAGCTTTATTCATGCCACAGGGGGCATATTTTGCATGTACTCCTAAGTGGTTTGGCAAGTGTTAGGGATGACCTTGAACTTAATTTCATTAAAAAATTACGGTCAGGGCCGGGGATTTAGCTCAGTGGTTTTGCTGCCTGCTGCGCAAGCGCAAGGACCTGAGTTCGATCCCTGGTACCGAAAAAAAAAAAAATTACGGTGAGAAGAACCTGATGTTCAAAACAGATTTTTTAAAACTTGGAAAATGACAAGTAAGATTTCTGTTTATGCCTAGATTGTTGAGGAAAATACAAATGCACGTTAATATGTCAAATTCTCTGTGTCTTCACATTGGTGGGACAAGTCAGCTCCCTGCTAGGAAAAGGAAGATGTGACAATAAAAAACATGTTTGTAGACATTCAGAACACACTATCCCTTGCTCCTGAGCAGTGAGGACCAGTGACCTTTGCAATGCCCTCAACTGAAATGATTTCATCTAGTTCAATTCATGCTTGTCAAGCTATGGGTTCACAGACGAATGCCAAATTCCCATCCTAGAGATGGTCAGTGAGTGGGCATGTGGGCAATCCTCTAATTTTCCTTTTCTTCAACATAGCTGCAATGAGATGCATATGAAGTTGGAGGCTGTATCCAAGTGCTGGTCGCCTTTTGGTGGTGGGGGGTGGGGGTTCCTCTGGAAACTGTGCACCTGAGTCAGCCAATTCATGGTTGCTTATGTTTCTCTCTTTGGGATCTTTGTTGGAAGCTGTTTGTGAGCCACGGGGAAAATCAGTGTTAGTCCAAAGGCTATTTCAGGGAAGAGCTTCCAAAGAAGAAGTCCAGTGCCGACGTTATTGGCACAGATGGAGAACCTTCACTTAAAAAGAGAGCCTTCCCTCTCCAGAAGCAGATGGCTATCCTTTGATGAGAGCAATCGGCAAATTTTGAGCTCTGTGCTGGGAAAATGTGGATTTAGGATCCCTGAGTTATGAACTTGATTCTAAATACACTTCTCAAGTCCAGGACTGGCTCAAAATACCTGGATTCTGTGACATTTATGAGCCCAGATAAGCTGGTGAATTGTGTTAAAATCACAGGTACCAAGGACCAGGGATTTAGCTCAGTCATTCCAGCGCCTGCCTTGCAAGCGCAAGGTCCCAAGTTCGATCCCCGGTACCAAAAACAAAAACAAACAAAAAAATCACAGGTACTTGCACCCAAGAACTCCAAGGGGAGTTCTCATGAGGACACGGAGTAGGAGACAGATATTCCTGTTCAGAAGATCTAGAGGTCTGCATTTGAAGCGGCCAGTCTGTAGCTTTCAGGAAAAGAAAAAAAAGTTGTTGAAGTCATTTTGAGCCAACTTTGTTGTGTACAGTCATCAGGGATGGAAGGCTGGGAGCTCTTAAAACCCTAATTCCCATTCCAAGATCATCATCATCATCATCATCCCAAGTTGCACCAAGCTAAGCGTTCTAACCCACACCACAGGGCTGGGGAGAGCCGAGGTGGGACTCAGCCAGAGACAAAGACCCCCAGGGCTTGGGCAGGACATGGCAGACACCCTGGCAGCAGGTTGCATGCTGGGAAGGCCCACGAGTGGGCAGAGCGCCCTTGGCTGAGGACAGAGGAGGACGCAGAGATCACTTCCGGGATGAAGGTCTGAAAACTGTGATGGTGGGCCCTGGAGCTGGTGAGCACAACTCTTGTCCCCAGAAGGTAAGAGAGAATAGGGAAGAGAGGGGCTCCAGGAAGGAAACAAGGAGGGAAGCCTTTTCTTAAGATGCAGGCACAGTTAGAGCAGGACCGCAGGTGGGGAGTTTTCTGTGGGGCCTCAGAGCCGCCGGCTGGGTCTCCTCTCCTAAGGACCCAGAGAGAATGGGGCCCAGAATCTCTGGGGGAGTAGAATCCGCAGTGTGGTGAGGGGCCCCATTGCCAAGGCTGGTCTGAAATGGCAGGCAGCTAAGTCCACCAACTACCCACAGGTAAATGTTCTCTTCCTAGCTTTCATGCATTCTGATCTCAGTGGCTTCAGGACATACACACACACGCACAGAGTGAAAATTCCACCCTCTCACAGGGATTAGAGACAGAGGCTTCTCCTTCCCAAGATTCCTTTCAAAGGAATGGCTCTCAGGCCCTTAGCAAGGATGTGTCTGAGGGGTAGCAGATGTTCAACACACGTCTCAAAGGGACAGAGGAAGGAGTCACAGCTGTCAGCCTTCTTTAGTAAAGGATCTTAAGGAGGTCAAGGGCCTATAGTCATGTGTTGGCTACAAAATAATACCAATTATCTTCACAGCCTTAAGCTTTCCCAGGAAGCAGCTCAAAAGGGGGCCAAGGCATCCCAGGGATGTGGCCTGAGGCTCCTGGAAGCCATGTTAGGGTGCGGGGAGTCTCAGAGGGTGGGACTGAATGGAGGACAGGCATCGAGTGCCCAGCTGTGCCTGCCACATGAAGCAGACACAATTAAAATCCGCAGGTGTGCCCACTTCCACACTGTCATTGACAGTCTTTTTTTTTCTTTCATTACGTTTACTGGTGCATTTTAGGTATACAATACAGCTACATTCATCATTGGGATCTTGTACCTGTACATGAGTATCTTGGTTCTTATTTTTTCCCCATTTCCCTGCCCTCCCTTCACCCCCTCCACCCTTCCCTATTTACAGAGACTTTGTTTCCTTTTTTTCCTTTTCTCGTATTATTTTCTTTTGCCTTCTTTCCTTTCCCCTACTGTTGACAGTATTTTTAAAAAGAGCTGACTGACCATTGTGGACAACTGAACGCAGGTCCACTGTGAAGCAAGGGGTGACAAACTCCTCCTTCTGGAATCTTCTGAAGACAACTAAAGAGAAAAATAGTATGAAAACTTCTTTGAGCCTAAACTTAAAATCATGTATCACTATTAAAAAACACCACTGTTTCCTATTCTACTTTTTCTTAAAATGTTGTTCACCATCCAACAAGTTGACTTCATTACCCAGAAATGGGTCTTAAGTCACAAGCCACATCTGAAAAACACAAGGCTGGAGGGCGCTGACTGGGGCAAAGACAGGAGGGGTGAAGGGAGAGGAGGTCCCCACCCTTGGGTGTCACATGTCCAGTAGCACCACGGAGAAACCAGAGGGACAAACCCAATTGCACAGAAAAGTCTGTGAGTCTGACCTTAGATAGAGTTTTGTGGGTGAAATTCTATTCTTTCATAGTAAAAATGTAGTAATAGGAACATCTCTTCTACATGTTCCCTCAAAGGACAAACACTGGGCCTAATGAAGTCTAGGGAGACATTAGCCACCCAGTGGGTGACCAGAGACCTCTGCACCCACCACTTCCGAGGAGAATCTCTGTTCCTTCCATCCATGCTTGTTGTGTGACTTGTTCCCCAATGGGACCACCATTACCTAAGTGATTGTGCTTGTAACCTCATTGTATTTTCATGGCTGTGGCCCACGTGGTACCCACATAGGCTTCACTCTCTAAAACTCCTCTGTAAAGTGGGGGTCCCCGGGCTACAGTTGGGACCCCTCCTGCCCCGCGGGAGCTTTCCTATCAATAAATATCTTCCTACTCTTAACCTCCCTTGTTCCTAGGACTCATTCTATGATTTCTAGAGAACAAGAACTCAGTGTATCATACAGTTAACAGGTGGAAGGTTTCATATTTCATATTTTATCTCTGATATTTCCTCTAACCAAAGGAGTAATTGGGTAAGTGTTTGTGACATCAGGCAACACATATTTATTGAGCACCTCCTATGTACTACCTACAGTTTTAGGCAGCAGGGTTCCATCTGTGAACCAAGTCCCTGCTCTCATGAACTAATATCCTAGTAGAGGGAGATAGGCAACCATCAAACAAGTGCATCATACAATGAGAAGCGGTGGTAAATGCTAGCAGAGAAGAAAAGTGGGGTAAAGTTATGCACACTTACTGTCAGTAGGGCAGAGACACCTTTTGGGATACAGATACTCTTCAGTGGAGCCTTGAGAGACGAAAAGGGCTGAGGCCTGAGGATATCAGGGAAGCTTGTTCTGGGCAATCAGAGCGGCCCAGGCCAAGACTCTGAGACCAGAGGCTCGGTGAGGCCATGGGGCTGCAGTGAATTCAAAGCTGTAACCAGGAATCTTAAAGGCCTCTGAAAACCCTTTGAGTGCAATCACAGAAAGATGATAGATAGAAAATAAAAATGTTGCACACACAAGTTTGGGGCTGGCAACCCCAAGTCGACTACGTTCACGGGAGGTGGTTAAGGAACTGTCATCCTGCGCCACAGTTCTTGGGAGTCAACAGCCTTGGAGCTTGGTCTGATCTTGTCCTGATTCTCCATACTGCTCACTCCATCCTAGGATTTTTTTTCTTGTCACTTCTCCCTAAACAATACAGCCTAGCAACTGTTTCCATAGCATCCGCATTGTGTTGGGTTTTATAATAACCTAATGATGATTTAAATGACATGAGATCTTCATTGGTTATTTGAAAACACTACATAATATCTATGAGGGACAGAGCATCTTTGGGTTGTGTGGCGAGTCCAGTCCAATCCCCACAGATACCAAAGGACAGCCGTAATAAAAAATCCCCAGTAGCTCAGCGCAAACCAACAAACCATTTTAAAAATCTGTATAAAATATATAGCACTTCAGATGCAGACTAGGAATTGGGTGCTAAAAATGTTATTTCTGAAATGACATCCGAGAATGTGTCTTCCTGAGAGGTGGCTTGGGATTTTCAAAGGGAAACCAAGGCTGAGTGAGGAGGGTGAGGAAGGGTTGCAGCTTTGTCACTCGACCTCCAACTCCAGATGGCTTCAGCTTCAAAGCAGGGTAATAATAGATGGCACGTCACAGGCTTCGGGTGAGGATTACGCATCAGACATGTGGAGCACTGAGCTCATCGCCTGGCATCGGAAATGCTCCGCACACGTTAGTAGCTATAATTTTTCTCAACTGAAAGCCCACAGCTCTGGGGT